CAGTAAGTTTGAGCCGGGATGTGCTGAGGCTTATGGCGCTCTTTGCCGCATCTTTTGTAGTCATCAGTCTGATCAAGAGATTAGACCAGTCTATCTGTCCAGATTTTATTTAGCGGTGGCAATTGGACTCCTGTATTCAGATGTAAGCAGTATTATATTATATATTTATTTTTGTTACTGGTAATTTTTGATTGATTGATTTTCTGTTTTTGAGATTTCCTGGACATGAAGTGTAGAGCCTTGGTATTACACAAAAAATGTATTAAACTTTTGAGGTGCAAAACAAGCGATAGTTTACTTAAGAGAGTGAAGTCCTTTTTAATCAAGCCTATGAAAAAACTTCTGTTATAAACATAACTTCTATCAGTGATAAAAAGATGAGTAGCTGAAATGAATTAATTTTACATGTCAATGGTTCTTGACCTGTTTTCTCTGAGTAAATTGAATGGCTGTAAACAGTCTAATGTGTAGGTGCTAGATGTAAGGAAGCTTCCAAACAGTACTATTCGTTAATTTGAGTGTCAGCAGAGGAGCTATTAATGTGAATGGAGTTGTTGTGTGTATTACCGTAGCCTGTAGTAAAGCTAATGAGTTTCAAGTTACTTGCAACAGCTCTGTCTGATTGGGTACGTATGGTACACATAACCTAAATTTAGTTCTGCTTTGAAGAATGTAAAGCTGGCAGTAAGAGTTTTGAACATAATTAGCATTAGAATGTTTGTACATAGTGTTACAGGGCTGTCAGTAAGGGCCAGGGGCTGGGGATTTCTCCCTAGGGGGGTCCACTATAGGGAAGTTTGGGTGTGGGTGCCACCGAAGTCTTCATGTGTACATGTGTAAGGGGACCAGAGTTCACTAGCATAATAATTTATTCTAATTTGGGTGGAACAATTGAACAGTATAAAAGTTTCCTGGTGTCAGTGTCACTGATGTCTCTGCAGAGTCGGTAAATAAGGTAGCGTCAATTTCTGCCGCTCTCTTGGTCCTCCCCAAGAAGAGATGGCTGTATGCGTGAGTGGCCTATCCTGTTCATGACAAAAATTCAAAATTTAATTTATGCATCGTTACCAAACACCGGAAATGGGAAATGTCATAAAATATGGAACACCTGTGGAGCTTTGCCTCTTGTTCACTTTGGTATTGCCATATACATCAGCAAAAACACGTACTGATTTAAGGTGTTGACATTAATCTTGTATTATAATTAGCAAAGTTTGGAGTGAATTACAACGGAAATGGACTTCAAAGTTGTCTCCTTCACATTAGCTGTCAACAGCCATTGTTGCAAACTGGAAATAATTACAACCGGTAACTCGAACTGTAAACTAAGGGAAACAAAAAGCAGTTCGAATTAGCGAGGAATTTGAGGTATCGGCGGGGTGAATTTTAGTGAAATTTTGATCAAGAGATTCAAAGAAAATTTAGTTCGAGTTTACATGTATAGCGCAGAATTTGAGTAATCCGAGTTTGAGTTATCGAGGTTCGCTACCGTAATGATCCAGATATGGCTGATTGAATTTCAAAAACATACTTACCATTTGCCAACTTCTCTATTAAAGCTATTGCTTTTCTTTGTAAACATTTCAGAGGTTTTTATTAGCTTAAAACACTCTAAAACACAATCGCACGCCACATCAAACATGCCTTTGCATCTGCCGTTTGAATTGTGCTCGAGGAAAATAAATTTATGCTGTTTGCTTGATTTGAGCAGGCAACAATCTGATTTGTGTTATTATTGACAATAGCAAACTCATGCCTCCAGCCAGCTGTCTGTTTGGGGGAGGAGTGCAAGCTCATTTTCCGAACTGCAGTTGGCAATAATTATGGTTTGTTAAGAGTATGGTTTGCTCTCAGGAAGATCTGATTTATGAGTTGAGACGACTGAAGGTTGTCTGTAATGGTTTAATGCCCAAGTCAATGGTTTTGCTAGCTGTGGTTTATAGTAGGGTCCCATCTATGTGGTATTCTCTGTTTAACAGAAATGTTTTGCTGGAGATGTTTAGGGTCTTGCACTTTGGTATGCCAAGGCTCATTGTTAAGGTGTGACTCCAGTTGGAGAGCTGAGTCATCTTGCTGAATAGAGGTCTTATCAGTATTTTTTGAAATGATCTTGTATAATTTGGAGTTGTCAGCAAAAATTGCTATTTTAAAGTCAACGAGAAAAACTTTGTGTCTCATGGAGCCTTGCCACTCTGCCATCTTGCTTGCATGTTCTGTCTGATTAATTTTCATTGTACCCAGCAACTTCAAATCTTAGCGACAGCCTTACATGTACAATGTACGTAATATCACTACAGTTAGAACAAGCATTATTATTTATAATACGATGTATTATTACAGTGAGCATTAGAATGTTAAATGTTTTTGGAAGGTGTTAGCTTTCCATTTACAGATTGTTGTTAGTCAAATTAATATTTTCCACTCAAATATACTGTAATTTGTTATTGTTCAATCTCTTTCAGTTATGTACAGGTCACGTTCTATGCAGTATACTTCTTAACTCAGCTGATCTCTTGCGAGTTGACCTTCAGGGGGTACAAGTGCTTTTACCACACCTTATCGCTGCTCTTGAGACAGTGCTACCTAGGAAAGAATTTCAACTGAGGTGCAGTACGTGAGCTAATTCAATGAAATGAAGTAATAAAAGATGTGAATTTATAAAATAAACAAAATTTCCTTTGTCACGGGTGTATCATTTTGATTGGTGCATTTGTCAACTTGTGGTTCCATAATTATGTTGCATTATTTTTGTTCCTTGATACACCCCCCATCTTACTGCAAACACAGTCCAGATTAAGTAATGATCCTGGTAACAAAGGAAACAATTGCTTTTGTTATGGTGCGATCACTTTCCTCACATAAGAATATGTTATTTTCACCCAGACAATGCATTAACCTACAAAAAGGCAGTTTATGAAACTCCATTTTTAAAGCCAAATAGGGTGCCTTTTTGTGGAAGATTTTGACCAATCATAAGAGTTGCAAACAATACCCAAGAAAAGTTTACAATTAACTTTTACTTGTTTCTCACATAGGATTTCTGTTTAATACTTAAGACTAAGATGAGATTTTGTTATAAAGAAGTTGCTTAGAAAACGGGAGATTAATCTACATTCTGCTTTGTGAAGATTTCATAAAATTTGATGTCTATTTAAACCAATTAGACATTCAGTGGAGACAAAAAAAAGTTTACATCTTTATGCATTCTGACATTTCAGTGCATGTAGCTAAGGTTTTGTTTTGGAATTCTTTGGTTTGCAAAATGATAACCAGATGTTAACAAAACAGTATCTTCCGAAATCATATACATGTACTGTACAAATGAAGGTGTGATTTGCAGTCAATCCTGTTTGTCATGCTTTACCAGCATTTTTCCAAAAGATGTTTAAATTGCTCATTTAAGTGTTCTTCATCATTGTACTGTACATTGTAAATAATTATATTGACTCAGAGGTTGAGTTTAAAAACTGTAAAGGTTTACTACATTATGACTGTAATCACAACTTTTTGCCTTGCATAACCTTTTCTCTCACCATGTTCACACAGGTGTAACGTTTCCACCACTGAGCTTCGTAGAGCAGCAATACATCTTCTGTTATCCATGTTGTGTCTTCCACTGCATTTTCAAGATCTCCCTATAAAAGGTGTGAAATATTTTGCAAACACTTCGTCACAGACTGCTCTGGTGTTTGTGATTTTGTTAAAAATTAATTATTCTAAAAGGGGCCTGCCTTGAATTTGGCAGCTTTTGGCTGCTTCTGAGTTCACTGTAAACTGATATTCCATTGCTGTTGTCCAGAGCTATCTCCTTTTCAGTGGAGGCAGTGTGGCCGAGTGGTTAGAGCGCTTAACTTATAATCCGGAAACCCCAAGTACAAGTCCCACCCTGACCACTAGCTGGATTTGTTCTTGGTAGTCCCGAGTTCAAATCCTTGGCAACGCTTGTAAATAGCCAACTGGTTCGCCTCTTATCAGATAGGATTCTTAAACATATTATCTTCTATTGTTTTTTTTTTTCAATTATTGGTTCTGTATCCCTGAAAAGCCCTGTAAGGGGAGTGGATAATTGCAGTATTTATAATTTATTTATTTACAATTTATAATTAATTTTATCTTTGTACCTACAGCTGTAATTGAGGATACTCCTTCTCTGAGATTGATAAGTACCTCGAGTTTAGAAGGCTAAGTTTTTACTTTTATGTCCATTGTATTTTTTTCTAGACATGACAGCAATGTGGAGAAAGAAAAACTCTGCTGAACAAGACAATCAAGAACCCAAGAAGACACTGACATTCATGTCACTAAAGCCCAGACTCACTAGACTTTTGCTGGAAGCTCTGCAGTGTGAAGCTGACTCTTTTAATGTTCAGATCTTACTGGGAGGTTTGTTGTTGTTTTAAGAAAGTTTTAAGTTGGATGTGACAAGGTTTTCTGTACTTTTTTGTGTGCCCTATGAAAAAAAAAATGCTTGTTGCATCCTTATAGACATTGACAAGACAGTGTACAATTACATGCTTATACACTAACAATTCCAACATTTTATATCTAATATTGTCCATCCTTTCCCCTCAGTCTCCTAAAAGACAAGTACTCATTGATTCTGAAATTATATATCAGGGTTCTAGACCAATGTGCTAATAATATAAGTTCCCTCATCAGCACAGACTGTATTATGGTACCCTGTTGGTACTCGCATGATTATCTTTTACTATACATTGCATGACCATTTCTTTTCAGGGGTATCGTTACTAGTCCAAGACAGCGAGATTGCAGAGTCCCAAGGGATTGCTTCCCCTAAGCAGGATGATACTTCAGCACGTGCTTCTGATCATCTCCAGGCTCCTCAGGATGCTCGCCACCGAGCCAGCACTGGTAGTAGCCCAATATCAGAGGCTGGCAGCACTGGTACTTTGGACAGTGTTGGCCAGCTTGGATTCAGTCAGCAGTCTGTGCAGTCAAATGGTACATGTATGCATTCATACTACATTTTAAAATGTGAAAAATGTTACAAAATGTGGAAGCTTAGCAGCTGAGTTACCGGTAGTTACTGTCTTATTGAATGAAGCAGTAAATCATTATTTTTAAGAAAACTGTGGTGCTGTGTCAGTCAGACAGAGTATTGTCAAATTCGATTTTGTCAACTTCTTTAGTTAATCACCTATGGAGCATGGTGTAGCCTGCGAGCAAGCTCTCTGCGGCACTCGGGCGGTGGGGTAGGAAAAGAAAGGAGAGCTTGCAACTACATCTCTGGAATTGGAATATCTGCATCAAAAATGTCGATGCAAAAAATGCTGATTGGCGTAGATGACACTACTAATAACGTCACTACCCTTGGCACCTTTTTTTTAATGTTTGTTTACATTCGCACTCTTTTCCGCTTTGTGCTGATTGGCGGAAATCTGACAGCCCAGTTCACAGGGAGCCACAGGGGAATTCACAGTAGGATAAAAATTCCATCTCCATCCTCTTCCAGCCCTGCCACCAGAGCGGGTAGTTTCGAAAACGAAGCACTCGAAAACGAAGACCGAAGCACGAAGCACCCAAATCTCGAAAACGAAGCACCCAAATCTCGAAAACGAAGCACCCTAAACTCGAAAACGAAGCACCCAGATCTCGAAAACGAAGCACCCAAAACTCGAAAACGAAGCACCCAAAACTCGAAAACGAAGCACCCTATCTCGAAAACGAAGCACCCAAAAAACTCGACACCGGTCTGTCCTTTATAAACACGAGACCAATGTAAATACAGCAGAAATCAAGCGCGATAACGAGTATTCGATAACGAATCGAATGCAGTTCAAATCTACTCAAGTAGTAAATGCATTTCCGCCGCTGCGTGGGAGGCCCGGTGGGAGGCTATGTTTTGGACGTGATCAGATCCCCACCATAGAGCCTGATCCCAGGCTATTACCCTAGAACAAATTCTGCCTGGATCTGATCTGATCTGATCACGCAGTGTCATTAATATCCAATATGGTAGACTGCAAAATAGTCGGGTTTTTTTTTCTCAAAATCAGTAAAGAAGTCGGTAAAGCGTGGCGTAAGAGTAATACGCGCGAGCCTCACACTCCGTTTTCAGCCTCGTTTCAGACCTTTTGTGTTACTGCTCACGCGTACTTGAATACGCCAAAATCTGCTGACGGACAGTTTTGAAGTCTACATAAACATGCATGTGTACCGAAAAAACGCATATTAAGGTAAGATGTATCAAGTATAGCGAGACCAATAATAAAATTAATACATTATATCCCATCTAGAAACGTTCAGTTAAACAGTTGGCAGGCTCTTATAAAACCTTGGGATGGATTTTGTGGACCTTTGGAGGAGCGGACGCATCCGCTGCCTCCACCTGATGCGGATTGCGTCATGCAAGACGTACAGCCTACACCCGCAGTGGTTTCGAGTTTTGGGTGCTTCGTTTTCGAGATTTGAGTGCCTCGTTTTCGTGTTTTGGGGTCTTCGTTTTCGATCTAGGGTGCTTCGTTTTCGAGTTCTGGGTGCTTCGTTTTCGAGATCTGGGTGCTTCGTTTTCGAGTTTAGGGTGCTTCGTTTTCGATCTAGGGTGCTTCGTTGTCGAGTTTAGGGTGCTTCGTTTTCGAGATTTGGGTGCTTCGTTTTCGAGTTTAGGGTGCTTCGTGCTTCGGTCTTCGTTTTCGAGTGCTTCGTTTTCGAAACTACCCACCAGAGCGTCCTGGCAGTGAGCTTGATTGCAGGCTAATCATGATTTGTTAATGACCTCTTGAATCCTTCTCAGTGAATATTGATCTTCAAAAACACTTCACCAAACCACAGTGTCCTGTTATCTGGAAGCCTATTCACAATCTAAATTGCAGTCCAGCCAATTCCATATTACAATTGATTAGACCTGGTACTTTTCGCTCCACCACTTTTGACATCCTTCAATTTGGTCTTTTACACCTGTACTTCAATGTTCATGTATCTCTGTTAAACTCTGCAATTCTTAACTATTTCTGTACACTGTACTGTATTTTTTTCCCTTTTTTTTTTTGCAGCTGACCTGAGCACAATACAGGGTCTCTTTGTGCAGTTGACACATCTCCTTTGTAATAAACTTGTTGTAATCAGAAGCAGCCGATGGAAATCTGACCTGCACATTACACTGTCTGCCTTTGAGCTACTTTCTAGTCTTGCTCAACTTAGCATGGATCATTTGGGTAAGGAAGATCTCATGTATGTTGTGGTTGGATTTTATCCTTGTTTTAAGTTTCATTCCCCCTTGAGTTTCTTTTTGGGTATGGTAATGTACATTGTCTGATAATGACTTTGAAACGAAGCAAAAATTAATTAAAATCATTTAGAGTAAATAGAAATGTTATTAAATCAATTGTTTCTTGTTTGAGTGTGAAATGGTATGACTTTAGCAAATACAATGTACAATGGACTGATATTGAGCATGGGTTTTCCTCTTGAAGAAAGCATTTAGAAAAGCATAAGTTATAGCCTGTGTAGTTGGTGGGATTAGCAGGCGAGTGCTGTAGTGTTTTGGCAGCGGAGCCGCATAAAGGTTGGAAGCAAGTTAAATTGATTTTCCATCGCGGCTTCGCTGTTCTCGCTTCGCGTAGCGGCTCTGCCGCCAACCCACGCACAACCATTTCACCAGCTACACAGGCTATATAAGTTATATTTTACTACATAGTATAAACCATCCAGCTGCACACTTTTAAGAGCACATGGCGAAAAATAATGTTGGACGTTTTTTGCTTTTTCAGACCAAGCTGAATGCAAGAGTACAATCCACTGGTTGTGTGATTATGTATCATACCAAGCCAATAAGAAAGCCACACATCACTCACGTGACTTACATTCTATGATAGTTGCTGCATTCAGCTGCTTGCAAACATGGATAACGTCACACCCATGGCTATTGGATAGTCAGGTCTGTATAATCCTTTTACTCGCAAGGCTAGTGTTCCGAACGGAAAACACAAGAGAAATTCCAATGTAATTTAGTAAAGTGGTGCTAAATAAATGGTTCCATGCCAAAGTACTTTTGAAGGGGTTCGGATAGAAGGTTACATGTAGAATCACCATGTAAAACATGATGAACAGCACCACTGAAGAGTAGTGTACATTTGCTTTCATTTCAATGGTCACATTATGAAAATTCCATTCCCAGAAGCAAAAGTTATAACCGTCGTTTACAGCGCAATAAACAGCACCACAGAAAAGAACTGCTCAGTAGATTTCTTTGATCGCCCTTAAAGATTTTATCCACAGAATCAAACGTTAGAACCATTTTGTACAGCATAGTGAATAGGGGTACACTACAAAGTACTACTCAGTACCTTTCTTTTGAATCGCTGCACTTCGTTGTTTCGGAAGTTCTGAATTAACCCATAAGAAAGTGTATAGAGAAGTAAAAACGCTCGGTGATATCAATTTAATGCGTTGGAAAAAAATTACATACACAGCTATAGAGGCTTACGGGCTTTACGGTCATAAAATAGCAGCATCTTGAATGATTTGTTTTTGAACTTTGCAGGGCTGCTTACAAGTTGTCATGGAAGTGGTTGAGCTGGGAATATCAGGAAGCAAGTCCAGAGAAATTCCAAGAGTAAGTGACACAACGAACCAGTGTGGTTTCACTTGCAGGTTGAATTTTTGAGGTAAAAAGTCGAGAGGGCGTAGCGGTGACAGCACTGGCCTCCCTCCATTTGACACAGTATTCTCAGTTGGGTCACAAACGATGCCAACGTAAGTCGATCACAGCTTTCATCGGTTTTGACACTGTCACAGCAATCTCATAAATTTCAGTACCAAAGTTTCTGTAATGGCCATTTGAACTCCTCAATTGTTTTTCTTTCATAGCCTTCAATTTCCCTTTCATATTGTTAATTTTCTAAAAATTAAGACTGTTCTTACCAACATTTTCTTGCTTCTATCTCAAGGATCATCAGCAAGGAACAGAATTTATCCCTCGGTTAAAAGGTGGGTAAATACCAAGGTTCCACTTCTACTTTTAGCAGTGTCAGCTCAATTTTGTGTATGTTCCCGTATTGATATAAGCAAAGGCCATAGGATTAACCACGTTTAGGCTTTGCGTAGGCTGGTCAAACTTCTGTTCTTCTTCTGGTCAATCTTCCTTTCCTATTTTCAATAGTATCTGCCTTGCGAAACACTGAGGCTCAAGGGAACAAAATTAAGTAGTTTTAAAATCATCATGTGATTTGTTATAATTGTAGAACAAAAGGAGAAATCTCTACACTGTACGAATTGAAAGTCAATCTCGCCGAGCGGTGAACATGCCGGAAACAGTGCATTAATAAAATCATAACTTCCTTTGACGTCAAAGAATGGAGTGTTGTCCGCTCAGATGCTTTTAGCGGGAAACATTTGTAGGTATCATAGGATCTCGAATAAGTAATTAGAACGCGTCCTGTGTGGGAAAAACGTTCAGCTTTATATTTCAGTAATGGTTGTACTCCGCCTTGCAGGTGACAAAGAACTGAAACCTGTATCGTTCAGAGTGAGAGAAGCAGCTGAAGGCCTCTTGACTGTCATAATGGAACACTTGGTATGTCATCCGTGTATTAATGGTGCTCACAGTCGAAAGGATGGTGACTGTTAAAAATTTCCATATGAGCACAGGTTACCCATGTTGGAAGCATGTTGAACCTAGGGTAGGCCAATGCCAGTTCATTACACAGTTATCCCAGTATTCACTAGTACGGAGGCGCTGTGAAGACCCAAACCCAGACCTTTAGATTTAAAGTGAAGCTCGCTGCCTCTCCCACATTCCTCGATAAGGAGATAGTGTGAACTCTTTTAGATAAATTAGTGGGAGAAATACCATTATGCTTTGACCAATCAGTTTGTTATGAGAAACAGGTCAGACTCTTCTTTTAATTCAACAGGGAGCTTTCCCTTCACCTTGTGGTCCAGCCTCGTTATCATCTCTCCTGGACGAAGACTGGGTTTTGGATCACGTGCAGCCAGCCGATGGCCCAACAAAGGTCAGGACGAGACTAGTCCTTAAATAGTTGAGATAACGTACAGTATTCTGTCACGAAAAACAAAAAAAGCAAAACTTTTATTATACAGCAACCATCTATAACCTGCATCTTGCTTTCGAGCGCAGCGTCCGCACCAAATTTAATGTGAGTCTTGAGCTCTCTTGCGTCCTTCCATCTTTGTTTGTTTCCTGCCTTTTGCACCACTTCATTTACCCGCACTTTTCTCCCTTGCACAAATTCCAGTACTTATTAACGTTTGGTGCCAGCGACATGTTTGTCGTCCTTGTAACCAGTTCATTTTTCCCGCGCTTTTATTTCTTTGCACACCGGTATTGAGTACTTGACGTTTGGAGCCGGCAACATGTTTTCCTGCCTGTTAAACAACAGTTGTCTTCTTTCCCGCGCTTGGCTCCAGTTCATTTTTCCCGCGCTTTTCTCCTTGTTTTCCAGACTGCTTAACAACATTTCTATCCTCTCGCGTTCTTGGCACCAGTTCATTTTTTCGGTACTTTTCTCCTTGCTTTCTCGCCTACCTATCAAGAGGCCCTGCCAGGGTAAATTCCGACAAGCGACATGGCCCAAAAAGTAGCGACAGAGCCTAAAATGAAATCGCGACAAGCGACAACCTCCTTCGGTCAATTGCGACAGTGACGGCAAAGCCGAGAATATGTGACAAAGAACGGTGGTTTGGCTAATTTATCACCAGGCTGAATGCCGAGAAGAAGTAATTTTCATCAATTTTCCTTGCGCTTCAGAGATTGTCTCTCTTCAGGAAGTTTCAGTGGACCCTCCTGAGCGCGTCACGTTGGTCCGTCGCGTAGTCTTCATTTAGGCAACCCCCAACAATTCCTGGGAGACCTTGGAACTAGGTTGTCCGTCAAATAGTTTAATTTTACGCACGCTTTACATCTCTTGTAATCACTACTTTCATATAGACCATAATGCACCTTGTTTTCCCCCTCAGAATTTTGTATAACCATTGTCGTCCCAAGAGAAATCGAAAACAATGGTTATGCAAAGTTTTGGAGGGTAAACAAAGTACATTATGGTCTGTTTGGGAATGGTGAATACATTGCTTGTTCCTGAACTTCTCACATCCTTGTCGACCTCTGTCGGACGGTGACGACGGTGGAGAAACCAGGGACCAGATAACTTATCCACCGACCTTCCAACCGCTCTCAAAGAGTAGACCACCGTTAACCGGCCTTCACGTACGATTTATCAGGTCAGGAACGTGAAATCCGAAATTGTGACCTTGGTAACCTTTTGCAAACGCGTGTAATTGCATGAGCCTCTCAAGAAATGACATGTTTTGTACTGTTTGACAAATTATGCGATTATACCGTGCTGAATTTTGTGGTCGGTAGTTCGAATAACGACGATGGAACATAAACAGATCAAGAAAGGAGTGCGTTAAAGTTGAAAATTTACTTAAGGTTGTCGGCTAAGTTTGATCCAGTTTCGTAGCTCGGTTTTTTATGTATTACGATCGAGTGCCTATCGCGTACACAAGCGAGTTTGTAGAAAGATAGCAGTTATTGGTCCCTAAGTTTTACTTATATGTGTTTTTAAGCAATCTTTAGCGACAAATGGTCAGCACATGGATATTTTACTGTACCACTATGAACAATCTTCTAGTGTTTTCAGATGTTTTACGGCAAATGGCAGCAGTTAGGAAACTCTACGGGAATACTTCAACTGGAAATACAGCTGGATCATCTGACTAATTTCGAATCCACTGTGAATGGAACAGCGTAGATCACTAATCCGTTAATCTAGATTCAAAAAGGATTCACCAGATCAAAAATCCGAATTTGGATTTGCCGAAAGGAACTCGAAATCCGTTTTTAGATCGAAAAAACCGTTTTGGATTCACCGAAAGGAACACACCCTTAATTGTGAATGGCGATGTATAGGTGTTCTGTACGCGAAAGGTTAACTGAGAAATTGCACAACTGTAATGGTTTCTTTACAACGCATTGCTATCCCCCTTTTCTACAATTCCGACAAGGACAAAGAATTTTCGTTCAATTTCCGACAGCGACGTGAAGCATTAATAAACACCGACACGAGACGTTTTAAAATTCAGACGAGCGACATGGGAGCCCCACCCCCTGGCAGGGCCTCTATCAACGGTTCTGTCTTCTCCCGTGCTTGGCACCAGACGAGCGCCAGACTCATATTATTTTTGTTACTGTTTATTAGCAAGTTTTTCACACGTTAAGTGTTTTATTTTTCATCAGACGCCCCGCAAATTCCAATATTTTGTAATCCAGGATAGCAGTATCATGTTAGGATTGTTAGAAGAATCCCTAAAGCACAAAGGTAAGCTTTCCTTTTGTTCAGCTTGCATCACTCAGAGTTATTCATTGCAGGATACATGATTATTTTAAGCCTTTTTCACCATAACTGCACTCATATAGGGAGACTACATCTTTGCTTTTGGGTTGAATGCCCTGGGGCCCAGTTTACTGAGTTTGTGACAAGCTCCTTAGATATCACCCACTTTGAAACTACTGCTCTGCTTTACTTTAGAGAGCTTTTAAGAAAATGACATTCATAGTAAAGAATTTTCTTCTTTCATGAAGATTCCCCAGAACTTGATGGCTTAATTTTCGTGCCTGTTTACTGCTACACACAAGACAAATTTGATCTGATAATGAATTACAACTGTACCACAAAACAACGAAGTCCGTTTTAATATGCTAGCAAGGTTACCGTTTTCCATAAAATAAATGAACCACGGCAAGCATCGCATTCTTTTAAGATAATCAACAAACCCATTGATTTTAAGCGATTTTCACCAATTCTAAACCCTTTTTTGAAACAAAAGAGATTGACGGTGTGACCCGGCCTCTCTATAAGCTTTGTTTTACACTAACTTTATAACGTCAATATGTATTTTTTTCTGTTAGACCCTTTACCGACCTTGTCAGCAGTTATCCGTGGTCCCACTGGTCGTTATGTATGGACCATGCAGTTAAGACAGTTTTCACGACAGAAAAATGTACAGTACTTCATGTTATTTATTCAATTAATCCGTTTATACTGCTCCATGAGAAATTTCTGCAATTTGATTGGCTTAGAGCAGTGGTATTTCAGCTTAATTCAGCTGATGTACACGTTTGAGCAGTAAAATCAGCCTTGTTTAAGATGACAGTTGAAGAACTGAATGTTTCTATTATTTTTCTACTTCTTCTCATTTTGGATAGGTTTTTTAATCCTTTTGATTGCTTAAATCATAGTTAATTGAGTAGAATGGTTATGAAACCCGTCAGACTCCTTTGTTATATGTTTTTGTGGACCTGAAAGTGCACAACGTTCAAAAGAATTCCTATCATTTTGATTGTATTGACCAATAAAAACGTTGCATTAATTTATTCCGTAACAATTTGCCAACAGAAAACAAAGGATTGTGCACTTTCACGGTACTTCCAACATAAACTGCAGCACTGTTGTTCTTATCATTGATGTTTGCCGCTTTTCATAACCAGTCTCCTCTAATAACTATGCTTAAATCAATCTTTGATTCTTGAATTTTTGCTTGCTGCAATGACTCCTGACACTTTCATGTGCAAAATTTTACGCACTGCGGCTAGTTGACGACCTTTTTGTTGAGGGGCTGAAAAGTCCTTGCTCTCAAATATCCGTACGGCGAACAATTTTCTTTGGAAATGCTTTAGTATTTTAATATTTGGCAGAAGAACTAACGTTCTTTCTAGTAAATTTGCTTCTTTCTCCTTAGGACCTGATTGAGGCGCACCTTAAGGACCCAGGGCGCCCTTCACCAGACAAGACCCAACCTCGACCGCCCCCGAACATAAAACACCGGGCCTTCCCTGAAGCAGTGGATACAGTGCCTCTCACGAAAGCGTTAGTGAATTTGTTTTTGTTTTGCTTCTTTTACAACATCCGTCCTATTTCCTCCAAGTTTTCCTACAGCTTTGTACGTGCCTTATAGCCTGCGTTGCAGCTGGTTCACCCATCGTCTAAACCATTGGCCAATGCCGGCAGTGTAAAGTGTCTGCAACGCAAGCTAGTGCCTTATCTCAGTTGGAAGCCTTTTGCTTAAACAGAGACCCGACGTTGTTGTTATCAGGCCGGTATCACATGCATAGTACGGGTGGATAGAGAAAAAGAAGGTTCGGTTTGGGAAAAAACGGTGGCGTTTGCTATGACCAACAGCTCTAAATCCTTCTCAAAAAGCGCTGTATGACTTTGTTTTAATGAAAGTTCTCTCCAACTTTGCAGGACCGCAGATGAAATTCGAAAGTACGTTTTTTCCTTCAGCAAATAACCTACGATCAGGAGTTTTTTCTCGCTTCCCATGAAAGACATAAAATAAATATAGGGAGGGCTTGAACGCAGGCCATTCGGCAAATTTAGATAAAAACACAGTGAGTGTTGTTTGTGTGTAAAAGGAGCGGGGACTGTAACTAGTGGCCGGAGTAGTCATTTTCTGATGCTTTGAAACACCTCTTTCCCATATTTCCATTTCCATCTGTTGCCAAACGATTTCCGTGCGCTGTTAGTTCTTTTTTTATACCTTTTTTTTCTTTTTCTAGAGATCGAAGTATACCAGAACTGGATGACATTTTAGATTCTAAACTCAGTGAAGTGCAGGACCATATGCGAGCACTGATGCAGAAACAGGTCTATGATTACTTCCACCTTCCGTGTCTTTTATGTCCGGTCCTTACTAGAGACGCAAGCACAAGCATAAGTATAAGAGTAAGCATATCGCAAGCCTATGCATGAGCATGAGAAACTTACCCGCTAGAGCAAGGACGGCCTTGACCCCCGCGCTAGAGTGAGGACGACCTTGACACACGTCAGTATATACGATATTTTTGAGTTCATCCATATGCTTATGCCCCCTCCCCCTCCACCCCCCCGTCCTGACTAACGTGGAAGCTCCTTATGCTCATGATTATCTTGCTCAGTAGTGTGGACCATGCTATGCTCATGCTTGCGTCACTTGTGAGGACTGGGCTTTACTCATCCTTTACCTCAACCTCGTCCCTAGGGCTAAATGGGAGGGAATAGCCCTGGGGACGAGGTTGCCTTTAGTTTACCAGTCATATCAGAAACGTCCGGAATCTATAAATTTAGATGAAATCTTGAGTTTCTCAGTATTTCAATACCCGTGTACTCCGTTTGCTTGTGGTAAGTCTCGTTTTTCTTACTATTGTCACTTGGTTGTTTATCCCCACTTTTCTACCGTATACTGCTGATCTTCATCATTCGCCTGATGAAGAAGAGCATTACTCCATGCGCGTTGCGGTCAATAACGAAATGATTGTTGTGAGGAAAGTGACAAACGAGCCCTCTGTTATTCATACCACAATGAATAATATCTTTCATGATTTGTCTTTTGCTTAATAGTTGGAGCATGAAACAGTGGCGCAGGCAAAATTAAAAGGAGGAAAATCAAAAGTGAAATTTGCTGATGATGATGCAGGAATAAGACCACCCCAGTAAGTAGCAAGAGTAGCAGGGTGATGAATGACAGCACATGTTATGTGTTTAGTATTCTTACCGTAAATCCACCTTAAAGGCCCCCTCTCAATTATCCCTCTCTTTAGTAAGCACAGCCCCCCTTTTTTCAAGAGAAGAAATTTATTAAGGCCTTCCCCTCCGCCCTCATTTTTAACAACCAAATCAATGAACGATAGTGTGAGCGCAATGTTAAGCTAAATCAAATGAGCCCCCCTCTCTTAAATAAGCCAATGATCTCTCTTATTATCCCCACCCCACCCCACCCGTGATTGAAATAAATAAGCCTCTCGCTTGAAGGACTAAATAGATGATTATTTTACGATATTTGAAGCCGTTATCTCCTTCGTCACGCATTGTCCTTCTCTTTGGTAGGCTAAAGAAGTGTTGCTCGACGAGTTTGCCAAGGGAATTTAGAATATTATCAGGTGTATTTTTGTTACGTTCAACCTGGTCGTTATTTCGATTCACTTGACTTAATTTTGTACTTCTCTTTGTGTTTTTCAGACCATGTAAGGAGTTTAGTCCATCTCGTCTTTTGCTTTCCCATCTTGGTTTACTGTCCATCGAAGGACTAATGGTAAAGCAATACTGCTATTCTGTTTGCGCTTTTTTAAAGGGATTTTGTCAGACGGGTATCAGGGGGGTATTTGTAGTTACCAGTGCTTTCAAGAGCTTTATCTTGAAACTGGACATGGGAAAGTCCATTTTTCTCAACATTTTTGTTCAAGATTGACGTTATGTACAGTGACTCTACATAGCGTTCAATCTTTTGACAAAGTCTCAGTCAAAATTGTTGGGACACTTAACTGTCTTCTTACCCTCCCAATGTTGGTGTGCAACATTTGGTGAGTTAACCTCGATGAACAACATTGGGAGGACAAGGAGACGGGCCAGAAGTAAACAAACAGCGTTGGGTGGAAGTGTCCCAACTATTTTTGTCTGAGACTATAGCCTTCTCCCCTGGCTTGATGCATTTGTGACATATCTTTCTTTCTTTTATAGGGTAATCCATTGCGTCCATTCGAGGACGCGAGCCTGCTTACACTGAATTCCACGTCCAGCGGATTCTCTCAAGCTCTGAAGGAACTTGATCACGTGTCTACGCGAACACAGGATACAGTTTATGTGTTTTACGTGAAAGCGGAACAAACAGACGCACATGAAATCATAGAAAACCAGGTGAGTATAATATCTGTCATATTTGCTGGAATGAACGAACCTTATTAGTGATATTCGACGCAAAGTGTCCTCATGAATAGCATTCACCGAAGGTTCTGTCAAATATGAAGTTATATGAAAATAAAGAACGACCCAGCCTATCATTGGCGTTCTAATTAAACAACATTTGTCAGTACTTAAGAAAGACGCGCCAGTTAGAAACAAAATAAGAAAAAATGACGGAGCATCTTAAAGTGTAGGGAATGCCGTTTGCACGAAAAATGTTTGCAAACACTTGACATGGAGTAATGTGTTGCACTGTTGTTGGCCTTTATGTTGTATAACTCTATAACAAACACGGGAGAATTGTGGCTCTATTACGACCCTGTCTTCCCGTCTTTGTCGGGTCATGGTGAATTGAAGATTAAACTTAAAGTACATTATGTATAAAACACATGCTAACATAATATTTCAAATACTTCGTTGTATTCCTAACAGATTGGTTCCTGTAAGCACTCCAAGGCATTCCGTGAGTTTCTACTCTCCTTAGGATGGCTAGTCGATATAGACTCGCACTCGGGCTGGTCAGGGAACCTGAAGCAGTGCTGGAGCAGAGGCAGTAGTGTATCTACCTTGCGCCCTGCGGAGTCCAGCTACTTACAGTCCTCTCATAGCGTTTCAACTCTTACGGGCAGCGAAGAGCAGGAGGTGTCTGGGAGCGACAGCGATCGATATGCGTCTTGTCGCGAGAGTTTTGATAGTGAAGCATCGCCGAGCAGCGGGAAGGATTCTCCAGCCGTGAATTCTTCTCCTTCTCATCCTCCGACTGAAACCAAGCTGGTTGATGAGATTCTTTACTACGCAGATGTAAGCTGTGAGGTGGCGTTTATCATGCCGTCCCTCCTGCCGCGGTGTCATAAGTTTCTGTGCGTAGCAGAACAGCTGGAGAGCTTTAAGGAAGAAGTAGAGCCCATGCCGCGAAGAAGGACTCGGTCAGGTAGCACCGGGAGCCTGGAGGGAAGTAGTATTGGGAGCCAGTTGGATATCAAAAGCAAGATATCCCGTCAGGCCTCCGAAGGGATGACTATACACGAGGTATATGAGAGCCAGTGATACTTTACCTTACTTATATAGACTACCTGTCATTGTAGAAAGAAGCAATGGGGAGGAAATCAATGCGCCATTTGCACGATGGCGTCATTTTACTACTACGACCAGAATCCTTAACGTTTTTCCTTTCATATTTAAATTTGGTAATCCCAGCGAGGTTTACAAAACAAAAGCACTTATTTGCACAAGAAAGCAAAACCCTGAAGGATTCGTGTCATAGTAGTAAAATGACGCCATCGTGCAAATGGCCTATCATCAGTGTCATTCCATTACATTATATTAAGCGCAAAAAGTAATTTAAATAAATGAAATTTCCTTCCAAAAAGCGGGGCGAAGTTAAGGACTTGCTCTGTCCATAAACTAACAGAAGGTTTTGTAAACAGTTTAGCTGATGCTAGTATTATTTTAAGGTTAAAGTCGATTATCCGCGAAATTAACCCGAAAAAATCCAGCCAATAGCGATAATTCGCATTAACGTAATATACCAACCACTGGCACTTTTGCTCCTTTGACAAAAACAAAAAAATCGCACTTTACTTGAGTGTGAATGCATCTAGCATAAAACTATTAATTTAGGGCACCACTGTTTACGTCTCCCTATGGAGACGAGACCGCCATTTAACGTGGCCATCCAAGCCACGTGAAGGTCTGGCCGTCTACAGGGCGAAGACAGTATCTTCATTGTTCAGTTATTTTATGACCCTGAGAGCTGGTCCTGTCCCGGGGATAGAACCCGTGACCTCCCGCCCTGCAGTCAAGCGTTGTACCCACTGAACTAGTCCTGTCGCGGTGAAAGGGTTATTATCGTTTAAGTCAACGCGAAGACGCTCTCTCTGGTTTCAGAACCGTGCCATGTCACGTCTTGGTAACGAACTTTCACTAGAGAATCGACCGCTGTCCAGGTTGAGCACGCACAACACCTCGTCCGAGACAAACGTAGTGGTGGCCTGGCTCGAGCGGTTTGAAGATCATGCCCAGTTCCCTGTGGACGAGCTGCTGATGGAATTTGATCTGAGTCAGAATGTGGGACACAGCTTGCGTGAGAAAGACACCGTGGTTATTTTTATACATCACCTGAGAAGTGGGCTATACCGCATCCATATCAGGTCAACAATCAGGTGCATCAGTCTTACCTCTTTTTTACTTTTACTTTGTAAGTTTTTCTTCAGGACGACAGCCTTGCAAAATACCGTGATATTATTCACAAAGCGTACATTATTCAGTCATGTTTGTTAACTTTGTGTGTTGTTGCCAGCCCGCATTAATCTAAAGACAATTGGTCATTTTTTTAGGTCCCCTATTGGTGGGCCCTTGGTGGACGGTATGGTAGTGAGCCGCAGGACACTGGGTACCATGGTACGGCAGACCGCTATCAATATATGCCGTAGGCGCAGACTGGAAATTGACTCGTAAGTGATGTTTCTTTTGAGAGTGTTAAAGTTGTCTTACCCTATCTAAGTTGGAACTTTGTTTGCTGTGTTCTGTAGCTTCTTTGAAACTTTCTTTAAGGAAAAAGGGAGAAAATACTTTTTATTCACACCCACAAAATGGGTGATTCCCACTCTCGCTTGGTTCTAATTGTCTTTACTAACAACTTGTTCAGGGAGTGCAGATGATGCCATGGGAGTGAAAATATTGCGGTTGTCGGGCGTCGTCTTCTGGTTCCTCTCATCTTATTAGTAGCTAATAATTCGTTAAGGTACCAGAAAAAATCACGACAACTAGTGCACGGTAAGAGGTTCGGAAACTGAAGACAACCTCGTTCACGTCAAGCTTTCGATTTTTTTTCATCTTTTCATTTTTATTCATGACAACTGCTAAGTCGTACCCTCGAAAGAGTGTGCTATCCGTTATACACTCAGATACCTCAAAGATAGTTTTGAAATCTCGTCTGTGCGTCATTTTTTATACTGCTACTTGAAGGTGTGTTGATAGCGATTGAAGACCAGTGAAACACGCCTTCTCGTGTTAAGTAAATTAAAAACTAAAAGTGAATCACGATCACTTCCCCGCGCATTTCATTTTTCCCGCGCTTAGTAGCGGTTAAACCTTTTTCGCGCACATCGCAATGGGGCATCTTTTCCCTCACCAGCGCTGATGGCGAAATGACCCCTTTTGACCTTTTGTTTTAACGCTTACAGGTATTCTCCTCCTCAAGTTTGTCGTAAACTGAAGATTCAAGATATCGTCAAGAAATATCGCCATGAACGATCTGTTCCTGATTTTTACGTATCGCTCTTTTCCAATGATGCGAAGTAAATTGCAGACATTATTTCAAAGTTGAAACTTTAAAAATTCTCAATTTTAATTCATAAATACAAAATTAAGCTACATGGAAAGACTTCACTTGTATACACTAAGGTACTTGTACAAAAATTAATATAAAGAGTATCACATAAAAGGTGCCGACCAATAACTTTCATTAGTTTGAAGTGCATCTCAAATCTCAAATTTTAAACATTACCAAAGTGTTTTAGTTGCAACTTTACTGTAGGAATTAAGGTTTACATGAGTTATACTACTATACAGACTGTCAGTGGAAAGTACGTTGCTTAATTAACAAATAAAGATGCCTTGACTGTGTTCTGATCATGAAAAGAAGAGCACGAAGACGAAAGAAGTGTATGGGAGAACAAAAGACGTATTCGAGTGTTTCTCTCTACTTCTTGCGTGCTGTAGCTGCTTCCTATGTGCTTTAGATCACAACAAGGTCAAGGCTTTTTTCTTTCTTAAGGATTCCTTTAAATTTCCCACGCATTGCTTTCTAATTTTCTAAACAAACTATTGGCAGATGGAGTGACAGCCGAGCTTGAGCTCGCGCTCCGTGTTTTATACCGGCTACTGTAAAGCACGCTTTTTCAATCAACCAGAGAGCGCGTTATATCTGAATTTTATGATGATAGTAAATGCAGTGATAACTCCTATGACACAGCAGATTTTGAGTCAATACTATTTTTTTTTGGTTTGCACAATTGCATTTTTAAAAAAGTTGGCTCAGTATTTTACTTATATGTGACCGCCATGTTTCTTCTACTGTTATGGGAATCATTATCGTCATCATCGTCATCTCCACAACAGTCACCAATGACCGCAGGCAGTGATCGGTAAAGGCATCGTGTAAATTGTAAGTGACCCATAATGAGGTAAACAGTGATTACCTTTACCATGCTGCTATTTAGCTGGTTTTCTTGCAACCTGTAAGAAGCTCAAACAATTTTGACGCAACATGTTTTTTGCCTTTATGTTTTATTAATCCTTGGCCATTTCCCAGCATGGCTACTACACAAATTAGTTGACAATTATTAAAACCAGCTTGAGCATTAAATGCCCATGCACGCTGGCCAAGTAGGGTATTCCCTGAGTATTAATATGGACACTCCCATTTAAGCACCCGCGCCAGAATTCTGGCACGGTAACCTGGTGTGTGCACACGTTTTCTGTTTAGTTGTGAGGACAGGTGCACTCCCTGCTACGCTCCCGACAAGGCGAAATCGATGGAGTGTGTACACAGTTACATACCGGGTACTCAAGGTGTGAACACATCTTTGCCAGGGCTCAAGGCAATAGTACTTGGACACCAAGTGTGGAAACTAAGGCTCGAAATGAGGTTGACGACACTGTCGCTCTTAAAAAAAAACTCGTCTGCTGCATCAAAGATGCAAAACAAATGATTAAGACATTGACTTGATTAGTTTCAAGGTCGAATTATAAACCTATGAGCCAGATGCTGAGACACCAACGTATATTTCAGTGCTTTGTGCTGATATTGGCTCTAGTAGGTCAATTATCTGTGTCAGGTTTTTGGCCGTTTCTTTGTCCATTTGGGTGTATGTATTTTTGTTTCTTTTACAGCGTGTGACTGTTGTCATACTATGTCACAATAAGACAAAAAATTGCAGGCCATTTTTTCAAAAAACAAGTCAAATTACCCGGGACACAGAGGTCCCAGTTCCCTTAAATAACACTTTTTGTGCGTATAGTAACTCATTATAGTCCTTTCACTCTCTTTTTGTTACTACTATTTACACCAAGTGTTTCTTCCTATTCCTAATATGTGTAAAGCAAAATTAAGTAGAATTGATAATGGCAATGGGACTGAGTGAAGTCCAATTCGGTCCGTAATCATACGAGTGATTAACAAAATTTCACGCGTGTGATTACAGACCTGACTGGACGACACGAAGTCCTGTTACTAATTAATCATAACCGTCACAATTTCCGAGAAAATAAATGTATTCTCTTGGTGAAAGAGCATTTGAATACCGAATCTCCAAAATTAGGGAAAATATCACTGGCGGAGACACTGTCTAGGGTTACAAATTCGTTCATTTTGGAAAATCCCCAGTTTGGTAGAGTAAGTGTGGTTGTTGCTATGGTTATTGTGATAACTTCTGTGATTGGTGAATTTATTTGCCTAATGTAACTGTCCGATTGCAGGTGTCCGATTACAGCTAACTGTCCGATTACATTGTCCGATTACAACCCTACAGAACAGGGGTTACATGCTTCTGTACAGAATGATTCTGTTAATGCACCAATCAAATTTGAGGAAATTGTAATGGGCATGATTAAGGACAGTACAGGTCCACAGTTGTAATTTGACCTTTTAAGTGTCTAACTGAAATAAGACCAGCGACAATACGTTAGCCTGTACTTTGGTGGGGCGGGTAATGCCGTAGCGCATTTGTGCGTCGCCTCGCACTCACTCTCTCAATTAACTATTAATAGATTCTGTCAGTAGCCATGGTTACACACCCAATTTCCCAATGCGGTAGATGGCTTGCTTATTCAGCTATAGCAGACGCACCTCAAATAGTGGACCTGAAGAGGGTTGGATGCGCGAGAGATTTTTAATTGGGACGAAGGAAGGCTGGGACCGAAGGGGAATATAAGAAGGGGAGTACTTTATTCGAGTAGACTACGGCTTATCTACGAGACTTATTCCGTCTTTTGAAGTCTCGGAACGCTCGACAAATTGTCACGTATTTGAACCGGTGTATGAGAAAAGTCACTGTACCCTAACCATCTAGAGTAGTAACTAGGGACTGTTCGTGGGACGGTCCTTTTTAATTCCTGCATTACTGAAATGAGGTCCAGTGTATCTAAGCGCTTGCTCAGAAGCTGCAGCAATGTGGTTAACACTCCTTTTTCAGACAAATACACTTCAAGAGTTTCGCTTGAAATGTTTCCTTCTTTCTCCATAGGTGGCATGTTATTTGCAATCACTACCTTCGTGTCTGGAATAAGTGCCAGTTTTTCACTCAAGCATCTTTTTATGTTGATACTCATCTGTTCTAGAACTGCACCACTCGTTCGCTCCCATCCCAGTCTATTCTGAATAAGGACGAAAAAAATTCTCGACGCCTTTCCTACAAAAACCAAAAAGACGTTTTTTTTCTTAACAAGTCTATTGTCATTCACCTTTTATAACATCCATGAGTAAAAATTAGGCCACGCTGAGAATTCTAAACAGTTTTCGACATTATTTCTTGCTAATTTTAAGCTTTGTGTAAGAGGAAGAATATTAAGAGGAGCTATAAATTTATAAATTGGCTTTTTACTTGAGTTAATTATACGAATCACAGTGTCGCAGGGTGCACAACAGTGTACCAGGGTGCGGAAGGTTCAGCTTTGACTTATTAGAGAGATTCAATTTGAGAATTTCTCAGAATAGAAAATAAGCAGATAAAAACAGTCCCGAACGATTGTTATGGTTAAGACTGGCATAAAACTACTTATTTTTTGTGTAGAAGTAGTAAAGAGTGAACGGAAAATAAGGGGGAAACTTGGTCACGTGGTACAAATTTCCGTCTGCCGTTTGGCGTAAACGTGAATCTTAATCTCTCTCTGGTAACTGTTATAACGTATGTTCAACTAATATCGAACAGTGTGTGGATGGATGCTTAAACAGGACTTAAAATAGTTTGGAACGTTACTGAACGGATGTTACAAGGGGTATGATATCGAACCTTTATCATTTGAGTGTAGTTCTATCCATTTATCGATGACGCTTAAAACAGCCATTTCAAATTTCTCAGTCTCTTTTTTCAGTTCTTCCTTCTTCTCCTTTAACTGCTTCTCGATTAATGGCTTCCTTTCGGTTTTCCATTGTTCTCTTTTTTCCGTCAGCTCTTTTAGTTCATTTCTCATCGCAGGCTCCTCTTTTGAAAACAAAGTTTTTTCTGTTAATAGTTGCTCATCCTTCTTGGTGTTAAAACGTAGCATCCGCTGCATGCATATTTCATCTTCTTCTTTAAGGCAAAGTTCATCCGGATATAATTCTCTGAACTCTTCTATCGCTTTTAATTTGATCCAGCTGTCTGGGATCTTGTTTTTCAGAAGCTCTTTCAAGAGTGCTTCCCTTTTCTGTGCCCTGCTGTCATCACTATTTTCTTCTCTCAGGCGTCTCGCTAGGTTCTCAAGATCTGCTAACAATTCCTTGAAATAATCAGTCTTTAATGTGGTTACCTCGTTCCGTGAATTCTGAGCTTTAAAAAATGTTCCAGCTGTTTCTACATCATCTTATGCGGAGGTTCACAGGCTTCACAGATCCCGACTATTAAAACCTTTGCTTTACTGTAAACCTTTGTTGGGCGGTTATTGACGTTCGATAACTTTTCAATTTCTTTTAGCGGAAGAGCAGGACGAAGTGTCCGTGGTTTTGTTGCTTTCTCTAAGAATTCTGCAAAGTCAAACAGTTTTAGCGCCTCAAAAACTTCCTTCAATTTTTCCAATGTTTACTCCGGTCGACTTCGTCGTGCAGTAAATCAGGATCAAGCCCAAATGAACGGTAAAATCGGTTTAGAACATCTTTGTTCATTTTAGTTAAGCTTGGACGTTAGTTCAGTCAATTCCATACTTAGATCTTTCAAGCACAGCTTAGAGGTGGAATCTGCAAATACAAGGCAAAAACGAAATCTGAAATTAACAAATGTTGACTTAAAATAAATAGCATATTAAATTGCTATCGACTGAAAACGTAATGGGCAATGACATTAGTATGAATTGATTTTAGGGGTGTGAATCCAGGGGACTGCTAGGAAATATTAAACAGACAATAAAGTGTTTATATTTCGTTTAGTAAAAAGGAACTTCAAGGCTGAGGCCTAATCCAGGTGTTTAGTGTGTCATACTTCAGATTTCGCGCAAGCTCTTTTTAGCATGAGCTCGGTTTTTCCTCTTCGCCTGCGTTTTTCCCGCTTGAACAAACGATGAACTTATCCCGATGTAATATCCCCGGTAAGACCCTTGATGACAAA